AGGCGGCGGCGCCGAGCCCCGGGCCGGCGGCGGGCTCGGCCTCAGGGCCCAGGAGGAGCTGCTGCTGCTCTTCACCATGGCCTCGCTGCACCCGGCCTTCTCCTTCCACCAGCGGGTCACCCTGAGGGAGCACCTGGAGCGACTCCGCACAGCGCTGCGCCGGGGCCCCGCGGAGGTGGAGGCGGGCCACTTTGGTGACCCCAGGGCCCAGGTAAGGCGCGGACGCGTGGTGCGGCGACGGCCTCTAGGCCCGGAGCGAGCATCCCTCGGCGCAGGTGGCTGCCGGGCGTCTCCCTTCGGCTCCCCGGGCCGTCAGTTCCACCCACCCCGCACCCCTCTGCACACACAGACACCCGCCATAACAGAATACTCTAGAAGACTTCCCCGCGCTGGAGTTGTCACGGAGGGCGTGGGGCTCTCGGCCCAGGGCCCCCTCTCGGATGATGGGTCTCGAGACATCTGGGGCTTGAGCATCCGTTCCTCCGGCACCAGGAAAGCGCAGCGCCCAAGGAGCCTGGCAGCCGCAGTCATGTCCGGAGCAACGCCTCCCCACGCGGCTCCCAGCGCGCTGGTGCACGTTTTAAACCTCTGCCCTGCTGTGCTCCTTGGGGACTGCCCCACAGGTGCGCTCCTCGCGGGCTGCCCTTGTCTGGAGCACAGAGGGACTTCTGCTCACTGTCCGCCCGAGTTACCAGGGGCTGTCCGAGTGTATGGGCCCTGCTTAAAAGAGTTCACGTTCCCAGAAGAAGTCTGAAGTGGAGATCTGCGAAGTGACTCGTGAGCAGGAACGCAGGTTGTCCGGGTCAAAACAGACACCTCCCCTGGGGCAGGCTGGCTGTGCCCTTTACAGACTTGGCATATCCAGCTTTCTAACGGTTTTGGGTCCACCTGCAGATTTGGAACCAGATTTTTGTTGGGCCTTTACTACAGGCAGATGCCATTTTCTAAAAGAGTTATTAAATATCAGAATGTCTAGAAGAGGGCGCGGATGAGCCACTTGTGGCAAACATGAATAGTCACAGAGTCGTGAAAGTAACCTAACAATCTAGGCCCCAAAAAACAGGCTTATTTTCTTGGATCGCAGTCTTTTAAAAGATAGTAAGGTAGATGCCAGGCTTTTAACTGGTGTGATTTTTAGGATGTTAGTGGAGAAGGCGATTTTCCCCCTCTGCTCAAAAGTTGATTCAGATTCCACGTCTGCTGCCTTCAGCACCTGGGACTAAAATGGGGCATCATGTTTCTCCAATAGCTGTGTGCATGCATATCCATGGAATCAAGGAGTTTGGGGGGGATTTAGAGATAATCTAGGTTGAGTCTCTCCTTTTTACAATAAGGCTTCCATGAAGTGACTAACCCATGTTTTAGGACTTAACGTTTTATCCTACTCGGATGTAGTAATGCTGGTGCCAGAGTTTTCTTGGTGAGCTTTTTAAAACTCTCTTCCAATGTCTGTTTACTACTAACATAAAAAGTATCAGTCCTGGTGGTATTCAAGCCTGCTTACTAAAATGAGGCAAAAAAATTATCTGATTGTATATGCCACCAAAAACAAAACCAAACCTACTGCCTTTGAGTGGATTCCAACTCATAGTGTCAGGGTAGGACAGAGTAGGACTGGTCCATAGGGTTTCCAAGGCTATAAATCTTCAGGGAAGCAGATTGTCATATCTTTCTCCTGCAGAACAGCTGGTAGGTTTGCAGTGGAGCACTTTAACCACTGTGCCACCAGGGCTCCTTCCTATATGCCACACGGCCATTAAATTTTGAGGAGACAGAACTGTGGCACACTTCTTAAAGATTTTCTTTTCAAAACTTCTTCTAGTGGTTTATACAGTGTGAAGATGACCTTAGATAGTAGGTCTACTGAAAATGCTCTGCAATAGAATGGTTTGTATTATTTCATTAGCCAACAAGGGTATCCAAACGCTGATTATAATTAACTGCTAGGAGGCTTTTTTCTTTTCTGTTTTAAAATACTGTTTGCAATTCAAATGCTGGAAGGCGGCTAGAAAAAGGGGGTCTAAGGGGACTACTATTCCCACAAACCAGTACAATGAGATTGTGAGCTTGACTGCAGTGCATGGCCTTTTCTGGCAACCAGTGGGTGCGGGGAGGAGTGGACGGCCCTGCCTTTAATTTCAGCCTATCATTTCACCTTCGTGGCAGTGCTGTGGGCTTCGCTTGACTCAGGGAGGTAAATCATTGGAAATAACGTGGACTGCAGGTGACGGGGAAGGCTATTTCTAGACCCTGGCGGTGTGGTGATCGACTTTCCCAGAAGTAGTTTAGGGTTATCCTCACACCCGCATTTTCTGCTCATTAGAGTGGACTCGGAGCCCCCAGCAGTGGCGTGCTCTGGCCTTGAAGACAATTCAGCGTATCCAGTTACTCCCAGGCTGTCACCCCAGAGACTGCTAATGGGAGTGGATGGATTTAGATCCTGATTCGGTGCAGTCCAACCCAGCTGGTCCCTGGCTCCAGGGGAGTGGGGGTGCACCTCCGAGCCTGTGCTGTGGCTCGCGGGTCCTTCTGGTGGGAGCGCTGAAGCCCACGTGAAGGCCCGCGGTCACGCTTCCACCTTGGGCAAGTGGGCAGAGGGCGATGAGGCGTGTCCCCGGGGGCTTCTCCCCTCCCCTGCCCTGCAAGATGGCGACAGCGCGCCGGCCACGTGACGGCGCTGGGCCCGCCCTCAGGAGGGCGGTCTCCGCCTCCCCGGTCGCCCCTCGGCCTCGGGTGGGGGAGGAGGAAGTGGGGCTGGTGAGGTCCGCAGAGCCTTGGTGGAGGGCCACGTGGGTTGTGCACTCCGGGAAGGCTGGGCGTGACAGTGACGCTGTGAAAGGGGAAATTCGTGTGGCAGCATTTTATTTCCCCGGAAGTAGCCTTTCAGACGCATGCATGCAACTTCTTAATTGCTGAAGAATTATACTTACACTGTCTAATGAAGTTCTTTGGTGCTCCAAACAGTATTTTCGTCCACACTTAACGGATTTTCTTTCTTTAGTTTTCCTATTAAAGTAATCCAGAATTGTGTGTCTATCTCAAGACTTATCCAGTCCCTAATAGGGAGCAGCATCTCTTTTGGGGATAAAATAAACTCCAATGACGTTTCCCGGTGGAATGAATATTTGCTTTTATGCCAGTTTTACATTAATTACATGCTTTGAAGTTGACTGCGCCCAGTAACTATTTAGTGACATACCATGATTATGATGTTAATAGTTGAGGTGACAAACAAGTCCACAAATTTACCGGGTCAAGTTAGAAAAATGGAAGATTAAAGCAGCATCTACTTTTAAAAGTAACAATTTTTGTAATATTTCCACAGTTTTTATTTGTGATTTGGATAATTTTATAGTAAATATTAAATTGAATTACAGCCTAAATGTTAACCGCTTTTAGGAGCCTTATATAAAAATCTCATGTACAGTCACTTGTGTAAGATCCAAGTAGGCAGCCAGTGCAGATACTCATTAACTAGGATGTTGTTGTTGTTATGTACCATCGAGTCGGACCCGACTCATAGAGACTCCTCCTTAGGTTTGTGAGGTGGTATCACTACGGAAGTAGATTGCCCCATCTTCCTTCCGAGGAGTGGCTGGTGGGTTTGAACCACGAGCTTTCTGGTTAGGTACATAAATATATGTATGCATACAGTGTATATATATGTTACAGTAATTAAGAAATAATGTGCGATTGATTCAGGTCTGTGTCACAGAATTACAGAAGTACATACATAACCACACCCAAAACCAAACCCACTGCCGTCAAGTCAATTCTGACTTACAGCAAATCTGTGGAACCAGAGTAGCACTGCTGCATAAGGTTTCCAGGTCTGCAGTTCTTTACCGAGGGGGACTGCCTCCTCTTTCTCCTGCAGAGCACCTGGTGGATTTGAACTGCTGATCATTTGCTTAGCAGTCAGTGCTTTACCACCAGAGAATTGCATGTATAGCATAGCTGAAAGACTTGACTTTAGGGACACGTCCCTTTCTGTTCTGTTCTTAGGAACCCGAACTATGAATGGTGTATTACCAATAGCGGTGAAGAATTGCCTATGTATTTTGAAAGGTGCCATCTTTGTTACTGTTTCAGTGAAAAGACTGGAAGAAAGAGACAAGCTTCCTACCTTTGCATGCTGAAAGGCACTGCTTAACAGCTCATAGAAGCTACATTCCTCTGTTGTTACGTGCCATCAGGTCAGCCCTGACTCCTAGCGACCCCTCGTACAGCACAATGAAACACTGCTCAGTCCCGCGCCGGCCTCACAGTCCTTGCTATGCTTGGGCCCAGCGTGGCACTCAGTGTGTCAGTCCACCTTGTTGAGGGGCTTCTCCTTTTCCTCTGACCCTCCTTCTGTAGAGTTGGTGTTTCCATTGTCCTCAGAATGTATTGGTTGGCTTGACAAACAGTGCTCTTGTTTAAAGGGAAGATATAAACTTGAAACGTTTAACCAAGATAGATGATCATCTGTGTTTTAGTTTCATTTGAGCCCACAAAACTTAAATGTGAACTGTGTCACTTGAACAACAACAACAGAAAAATTGAAGTGGGCTTTGGATCTTTCACTTAAGATATCAGTAAAGTTAGCTTTAAAAAACTGCAAAATTGCCACTTTGCATATGGTAATTAGCTGTGTGGCTTGTGTTTATACCAACTACCTCAGCTCATTTTATAATACAGATGATCTTGGTAGTAGTGGGGAGAAGACTTTTCAAAAGTTTTAACAAATGCTCCTGCTGTAAAATAACTTGAAATCCTAGCACATTCAGCTCAAGAAGAGCGGAGACTGGTGTACATTTTCTGTCTCTTGAAAGAGAACTGACTGAAAATGAGAAGGGAAAAGTTGTCACAATTTCAGTTACCATTGTATTTGGCACTAAAAAGATACTTTTTTTTGCAAAAATATATATAACAAAACATTCATGGTTTTTGTTGTTGTTATGTGCCGTCAAGTCAGCCCTGACTCATAGTGACCCTTCCTTGGGTTTCTGAGGCAGTATCACTACAGAAGTAG